CGTCAAGATCAGCGTTGAAAAAAAAAGCATAGTGTTAGAGAGGCAAGTATGAAACTTTAAAAACTGTGCAGATGTGAAAAAGCAGCAGCTCAACTTATTAAGTACAGGGTATGCATCATTTTAGCTTATGATTTTTTTTCTGAACACTGACACAGATTATCTCAAGTATAACCGATGTCCAAACGCATCTACATAATCAACTAGTTGATGGAAAGGAGTGCTTTGGAAATGCTGTTAAATGCTTTTCTTGCAGCGAAAACACCAGCTCACTTCCAGTGCCCTCTGTCCCCTCCTCACCAGGGACCAGGTATTTCCCAAGGCAGCTGCTTGTAGCACCCGTCAGGTTTCTACCCTGATTCAAGGACGTATCTTATCAGGCTGATTAATGCGTAACTACTTCTCAAGCTATTGAGAAAATATAAATGCCATAGCTGACGTTTCCCCATTTTTTCTTAATATGTGTGTTACTTTAAAAAGCCAGCTTCATTCAGCTTCACAAGATCCCTCCAGAGAAGTATAGTAAGAAAAAGGGACAGAGAAGCCTTTTACTTTCCTAATGGCCACTGCCAGTTATCTGGAAAATATTGCCAGGTAATACCATACCCTTAATAGTTTAAGTCAGCAATGACCTTAAAGTCTCAATATTTGGTCTGTCTCTAGCTTTTGATCTTTTCAAGGCTAATTCTGCTCACACTGTACTCTATGCAATTCAAAATACACACTTTTTGGAGTTTTTCCCATGTGCATCCAAGACTTTATTCACTTACAGGTAATGGCTGCAGCCACATTAACCATCTCCTCATCTTTTACAGAGCATGCCATTTATGCAAGAACCTCCTTCTAAATCCACGCACTTTAACCGGTCAAAATCGCACACTAGCCACCGCAGAAGCCGACTCCTAACTGTGTGGTGTCTATTGCCTACACTGAGCTTTGCAAAGCCACTATCAGTCCTCCCACCATGACAAAACACAGGACACTAGTTATGCTCAGCTTCATCCACCTGCAGCAGGTATCAGAAAAGCACAGGAGGAAACGTGCCATCATCAGGAATTTCAGTCCCTGACATACTGCCTCTCTGTAAAAGGCAAGACTAACCCCCCACACTAGACCAAGGAGAAAGCTCCCAGATGCCAGTGCCGTGCCGCAAGGCGCCACAGGGAGCCGGGCAGAGCCGTGACCTCCAAAGGACCTGCTGCTCTCCTCCCTGGCTTCTTGGCTCCGCTCGTCAGCGTGCTGTTCACTGTAACCGTGCCGAGGGACACTGCGCCAAGTGCAGACCGACATCGGGGCACTGCCTTAGAGGGAGAGCAAAAAGTAGGATCGGAGCCTGGCGAAGGCTTCCCGAAGCATCTGGGCAGGCTGCAACCCAAAGACACATTTGCAGTTTGCACACCACAGCCAGGTGCTGTGCACTGTGGCCGTAAGTGCTGTAGAGCTCAGCAGCAGCTAAAAATCATGCCCACCACGCAAACTGCATGATCGGCTACCGGTGGTTTCTGGCCTATGCAGGGCAGTAAGGATTCAACCCTGTAAGGCCAGTTCCCTTCGTAGCTGACACGTGAGATGCACAGCTAACATAAGGACCCTGCAGGGATTGCAGCCTTCCCCTATCCGAGCACCATGCCAGCACAGCAGGAACAGAAACAGCTCCGCATATACACTGTGCACGCTCCAGCAGCTTGAATCTGGCAACGTCTATTGTGGTCCCCGATCTGAGCATTCCCCCCACGAAGCATATCGCTTAATGCCATCCAAAAGGCCAAACGCTGCTACAGACCCTTATGTCTCCTATCAGACACCAGCAAGCATTTGGTTTGCAGGTAAAATAAAGGTTCCAGCTTAACATCCTCCAAAATAAATCCAGTTTACCTGCACCAAAAATACTGTACAAAGGGAGCCTGCATGCAGTAAGCCAGAATGATCAGGGGATATACAAAACCCTTGCACTGCCCAGAACCAAAATATTAACATAGATATTAACATAGATGGGACAGAGCAAAGGAGGAGTCAGGTTCATTTCCCCTCACACGGGCACTGTTACCTGACATGGATATTCAGCACCCCCTTCTATGTGCTACCTTTAAAGCTGTGTTTTTCTGACTTTTCTTTACAGTAAGTTTAAGGAAAACAGGTACAGACTCTGAGCAACCACAAAACAGAGCTACCATACCCCCTAGAATTAAACAGCCATCCCCTAACAGTTTAAAAGGCCTTGACCTTTGTCTCCTCTGCGATTAATTATTACTCTCTGCTTTTTCTTTTCAAGATGTTACTTCTTAGCAGAGAACTAGAGCTTTTCAGTTCGGTGTAAGAATTCTGATTTGGCTAAACAACCTACTTTCTCCTTTTTCACCACTACACCCCACCCTGCCAAAAAAATAACAAACTCTCTCTGCCAACAAGGTAGCAGTGCCACTGCTGAGGTGCCTGGGTATTTCGTGTGGAGCAGGTATTTTAGACTTGAAAAAACAACACTGACTTTTTTCCTAATACTTCTCTACCAGAAAAAGTGGACTAGACTACTCATAAGCAGTTTTAGAGAAGGTAAGAGACCTGAACAGCTTGTAAAGTAACTTAAATTTGCCTACTAAAGCTGTTTTCTCCAGCCACATGCCCTTTTTTGATGATCATCTCTGGCCAGGAACATAGCTTTCATTTATGAGACAGCACCTCAAGCATCACCATTTCCAGTACATAATGCACCAGGCTAAAAGATGCAGAAAATAAGTTAGCAAAGGCTCCTGCCTTAGAGATGCAGCAATAGCTGAAAACTTCTGCAGCACTAGCTAGCCAATTTTAGTCTACCAGAATAAGGCAACAGTTATGAATTTTATCTAACAGTTCAGTAAAAACAAACTGACTGCCCAATAATTTACCTATGATACATACCACAGTGGGATTATGCGTAACAGTTTGGGCGTGGAAAAATCATATGATAAAAGATGAACACACTCACTTTGTCTCTCTCTCATTCAATCAATTCCTGCACTTAGAACATCGTTAAGAATTAATTGCCCAATAGAACCAAAGAGAAGGTAATATATGTCTTAGTTCACAAACAACTACAGGGGTTTCCCCTGCCCCGTAATAAGTATTTGCCAGCATGCACTCTACCTACAGATCCATTTCAAGGTCACTGTCAGTCTGGTTATATTCAACATTTTACTTACTGTTCCACCTTCTAGCATTGTAAGATTTTATAGCAGGTTAGTATCTGTGGTTCCAGAGTAAATTTAGGAAGTGCACAGAAATATAATCTCAAAAGGCTCCAAATATGTATTTACATATGTGCGTACAAATATATACCTCTATCTATACACACACCCCCCCATAGCAAAACATTGAAAGAAAACTGCTCCTTTTGTTTTTTTTCCACTCCATTTTACACCAAAGAAAGAATCTGCTTTTGAGGACAGTTAATTTTTTACCCTGAAGACCAATCTACAGAGACAAAAATAGGCAATGTTAACATAGTGCCCAAATTTATCATGCAAAGGTATTTTTCTTCTTACAGAACAAGAAAAATATCATTTTGGAAAATGAAGAGCTGAAGCTCAATCCAGCCAGCAAGGTTTTCCTGGAGAGAATAGGGCTGAACTTTGTTTAGACAGCACAGGGCTAGCTGCAGTTTGCTTTCTCAGGATGTCTGTGCAGTCTGACACTTTCTAAACACAAATAGATTAGTAGGCACACAGGAAGAATCAGTCAGAAGCAGCACTGTTACGGTCATCTCTGATGACACCTTGGAGAACGGACAATAGTATATGCTGGGATATAGTTCAGAGTGCGATGCAAGTGCCCACTCTCATTCAGCCCACATGCATTTAAACTTGAGCAGGGGAGGAAGAAAGGTGAGGAAATTGGCACAGGTTCCACGTCCTGCAGCCCAAAGCTGAGAACCATCTGATTTTTTCCAAGTTGGTGAAAAAGGTACTGCTAAGTCAAGACACTACTGACTGCAAAGAATAAAATAACCAAACAAAACACCCAAAAAAACCCAACGCAGCCTTCCACAACCAATTTTCAGGCTAAAACAGATGAAAAGTATGGCTGGCAATTTACATGTCAAAAGCAAAGGCTGGATGAAGCATTTTTAGAAACAAATCGTAGAGCATTGCAGGTCTACCTACCTATTTATCACCCAGCCAGAAGTGTCCATTAATAACCATCTCCAACTCAAGATCTATTTTGTTTACGTATCACAAATAGAAGTGTAAATGACATGGTTTTCTGTGAAATTTTGTTCTGCCTGTCATCATTGTGTTGCTGTTGCTAAACAGCAGCATTCTTGGATATCAGGTATCAAAGATCACATGGTACACTGAAGTAATCAAAATTAATTATTAATCTGTACAGCCAGGATTTCTGGAATCAAGCCAGGCACTATTACTATTTCAGTCTGAAGTTCAGTACCTGACAGCCAGTAAGTGTGCCCTAAAAATTCGTATCCGAGTAGAGCAGCAGTGCCATTTATGTCAACTCACATCTCCATTTCTCTGCCTATACACAATCTCTTCATGCTTATATACACCTAGTTTTGAAGACCTTTTTACCTACCAAGCCAAGGGAAGCAAACTCTCCATAAAAACACCAATACTGTGAAATTAGACAGTATAACCTATTGGCGGGCTTCTTTAAGCATAAGCAATGTTCATCTGTTCTCCCTTCTTCTCACTTCAACACATACTTGTTTAGAAGCTACGGTGTAGTTTCCAAGACAGCATGCGCCGTTTTTCCCCTCTACTATACCATTAAGCACCTTACTCAACAGCAAAATACTTCCTGCAACGACAAAAGACTCATTTTGACGAATTTTTGTCTGATAGTTCCCCTCACCACCACCCCAAGCTACTTCCAGTGACTTCAAGGGTGTATTTCACCAAGCAACAACAAAAGACATTAGATCCCATTTGAAATTCGCTGCTTAAAAACTGCCACTCATCATATGAGGTCAACCAGATACCACAGAAATTACTGTAAAGCTCAGCAAACCTTACTTCTGGCAGAGGACTGGCCGGTTTGGTTAGGATTCCTCCCACATAAACAACATTGGGCAGCGTCGGTCTTGGAAATTCCAGAGCTACATCAGTACAAAGCATCCACAGGCTGGATCCATGAACCAAGTCATACATGGACCGTTCCGGCAGAACCTTGTATTTCTGCATTATCCTTTCATATTTTGGCAGAACCAAAAAACTGACTCCAAATCTTGAAATAAGATAAACAACAGTGTTTTTAATCCTCTCAAATAGGTTCATGTGGTCTGTGAGCAGCGAGTTAAATTCTGGAACATAAGACAGGGGAGCTGGAGCACCCACTTCTGCTGGATACCAGAGGCCAGTGGAAAAGACGGCGTATTTAACCCCTAAAAGATGAGCTATAACAAATCCACACATCTCATTGGGATCTACCAGGAGCAGGTCAAATTTTTGCTGTTTCAGGGTACGCATGAGGTTTTGGTTGCCAACAATCATGTCACAGTTCTTGGAATAGTGGTCCAGGATATCAAACAGTTCGAGGGCTGTCAGTCTCCCAGAGAAGATACTCCTCATCTTGGACTGGAGAAAATCATCCGAGGTGCTGCTGTTAAAGATCCCTGGGTAGCGCTGAAGTCTATAGTGATTAGATGGAGGAATCTCTCTGCCCTCAGAGAGGAGAAACACTGTCTGGTGACCTTGGTCATGCAAGGCTGAGGCCAGAGTCTTGAAAATATAAAGATGGCTTTCAAACATAATTGGCGGCACCACAACAATTTTGGCAGCCCTTGCTATCCCAACAGCACTCCACAGGAGAATGAACGCTGGAGTGTACGGCTTCATAGCTGAAATGAGAAATAAAAGCATTACATCAACAGAAAACAGGTTTGTATGCTATCTGTGAATTAAAAAAAAAGTTGTTATTTGGCTGTCCCATGAAAGTTAATCACATCTCTCTATTTCAAATAAGTCTTTGTAGTGGTCACAAGGAACAAGAGAGCCACTCTGCTTCAGACTGCATTTGGCAGGGCTCGGTTACCAGCAAGATCTGCCTTTTCCCCTCCCTTTCTATCCAGCATTAGGGGGAGACGAGAGACTTCTTCCAACACAGATACCAACACGGCACCTGTATTAAGTGGCAGGAAAACCAACTGAGACAAATGAGGTTGGTACCCTCCACAGAGATACCACCTGCACCGCTTCCAAATTATATATGCCACCCAACAGTTGTAAGATCTTGAAGTCAGCTCTGAAAGATGGATCCTGCTACATTTGGGATTATATGTAAAAGCACAACTGCATTATTGTCATTGTAATATATTAATGAATAACAAAGATGTTCCAAGACCGAAATGTTAAAATCCTGTATTTATTCACACAAGACCCCAAGGATGCACTGGTGATTTTCAGAGCATAGCATACAAGCTGACTCTTTTATAAATACAATTCAGTCTTGTCCCCTCAACTGGAACTTCTAATACGTCTGTTTTAATGTAGTTTGCGAAATCCACACTTCACACTACTGTTAATATGGCTAGGAGCATTTCTACAGCAAGGTCCTGTCTGATAGTCACTCAGCTTTCAAGTTGTCCTCCTTCAAGCTGCAACTCTCTATTCCAATTTAAGGATAACATTTTCTGCCATTTCATTTTCATATAAGCCAATGGGAATAGAGAAGATAAAGATTTTTTCCTCCTAAACGGACATGCAAATTCCTGTCATTTTTTTCTTTAGTATCAACATTGATCAGACACACGGGGGTAGAAAGTCAAAATTTGGCAGGAAGATGCTACCACCAAATAAGAACCAACTTAACTACTTTGAGCTTTCAAAACTTACACTTCATGTACAAGAACAAGTGAAATAACAGGAGTTAGCACTACACACTAACTTCCACTGAAGCACTTTCAGTAGTACTTGATTCCGAACCCACTTAAATCAGCACTTGAGCACACGCTCAAGCACAAACTCTAACCAATGCTGGAAACCCCACTGCTGTCCTAAACACACACAGTTCCTGACAGCAGCAGGCTGCCAGGGAAAAGAAAAACGCTTTTCCCCCACCATGTTTTGATGAGTAAAGCCTATAAAACCCTGTATGTACCAGATGAAAGCAAAGTGCACTAGAAGCATGGAGAGGGCATGTCAGAAAGCTCCTCAGTCACTTTCTCTGTCCCTCTTAAGACAGAGAAACAAGTGCAAGACAAACCAAACTATATGTTCAAACATTTTCTTGTGCCAAACCCATCCACATGGAAACCCGAGTCTGTTGCAGTGTCCTTTATAAATAAGCACAACAGAAACAGGCAACACTGCTACTCAGTCCTTGTTACCTCCTTACAGCATAGTCTTATAACCCTCCTACAACAGACTGCTCAGGACTTCAATTTTTTATTACTGTTACCAGCTCACCAAGAGAACATCTCGTATTTGTAGTCCTACCATATAACATTAAGCTTTCTGAAAGATGCCCCAATTTTCTCCTACTCCAGCTTCTGCTTGACTTTGAAACATTTATAAGCATGCACCAAGTCCAAGTAAAGTAGGAAAATTACCACAAGGTACACTATTTAAATCAAGTTTCTCACATGAAAAGTTTTCTTACTGGATTTCAAGCCTCCTCCACATTCCTCTTCTGAAAGTGTTAGCCACGGCCTAGGAGATTACTGACCATCATTTAGAGAACTCTACCAATTTTAAATTTATTATCACTTGCAGTAGTGTGTGCACAAAATATTTCACTCAAATAGACTTTTTTTGTGGGTTTTGTTTTTTTCTTTCCCAAGACAAAGCCAACAGCACAAAGATGCACAGCAAAACCTTATGGTACCCATGGGCAAGGGATGAGAAACTGAAACACTGAGAATTTATTGAGATCTCCACCACGACCACCATGTTCACAAGCTGACACAGCGTTCTGGGAAGTACTCGGAGGGCTCACTGTTTCTAGGCACAAAGCTCAATTTTACAGTGATAACACTTAGGGGAAGATAGAGGAAACTACTTGCTGCAAATATTAGCAGTTGCATAAGAAATCTTCACTGATTTCAGGAGAGATGCATTTGTTTAAGCTGTCTCAACTAAAGTGTTGGAGATTACCCTAAAACATCTCCTCCTCAGCAAAGTTTAGTAGTTAAATCAAACTAAACAGCACTCCTATTCACTCTCTAAATAAAGTTGGAAAAAGCATTCCCACTACATGAGAAACAGCTTACCTCCCAGCACAAAGGCCCGACCTGACGGTGAGTTTAAGGTATTAAATTGTCTTTTTAATTTAGGCCTTTGCATTCACTGGGGGTTTTCTAGAAAATCGCAGCACCCCACAGAGCTCAGCTGTCCTCCCAGGAGCTCCTGTTCAAAGGACGTGCCAGCACCGAGCCCCGCTCACCATCCCACTTCGCTCCCATCTGTAAAACTCAAAAGGTTTCAAGCCACAGCAGAGGGTTGCAAAGTGCAGAATTTACACAGGCTTGGCAAGGCATTCAATATCGGTACCAACAAGCCGTGCTCAGCTATCTTCAATGGGGCCCCACGGAAGGATAACACTAGTTATATAAGCATGGTTTTAAACAGTAAGTAAATAATGGTTTGTCAATGAAATATCCAAGAAAAATATGATTAATCATACTTGGGAAAAAAAAACATTATTGATTACATCTCCCCATGCTATAAGCATTCCCATGGTGTTAAGTTACTGCGCCTGTCAAGAATAGCGGTGTTACAAAACCATGAATGGAGGTATCAGATTGGGAAACTCAGAAACAGTTAACATTTCTATCATCGGTCTAAATCAAAGGTACCAAGAGCCTAAGGGCTAGTCATGATCGAACAGGTTGCCAGATGCAGGCATGCCGGGCTGTACTTTGATCTCCTGACCCGATAGAGGTCCGGAGTGCAGTGCCGGAAGATACAATCCTTAGCCCTAAGGCCTATTTTCCATGGCCAGGGTCACGCACATGCCATAGGAACTACAGCTGCACTTCCCTGGGATGGTGATAGTACCGCCCCACCGCTTCCTACCCCCACCCTCACCCAGCAGCAACATTTTGAGTGGGAATCACATTGGATATTTTACTCTTTACATAGGCACTATAAAGCACTACCTACCTAACATGAAAACCTGTTCAATATAACAGCCAATTTACCAAACATTAGTTTTTCTCCTCTTAAGGTGCATCAGCATCAAGGGATGACACAACACCCTTCCCCGGGAGTCTGTAACTTGCGTTATGTTCAGAACTGGTAAAAAAAAAATCACTTCTCAAAAACGTACTATGCGAGCACCTTCCACAGGGACCAGAAGATATAGGTACAGGACCTGCCAAGCCACAGAGATATTGAACACGATGCTATTACAGAAATGCTGGTTAAGTGACATTTTTACTGTGAAAAATTGCAGTGACCTTATATTGAACTTTTGGCAGGGACCTGGAGGATGAAGCCTCATCATTTCATCCCCTGGCCACACAGAAGCAGGAAGCTTGGAGGGTTTCTATTTAGCATGAACAAAGGCAATATGTAACAGCGCTTTGTAAGCCAGTTAATCGCGAGCACAATTCCCATTTGGCAGACTGGGAGGGGGAAGAGGTAGGTGCTGGGTGCCATCGGCAGGGCAACACCACACGACCATGCAAGCTCAGCTCCAAGCTCAGTCCTGGATGCCCCTTCGCTCCGCCCGTCCTCGGCAATGAACTCCTCCAGCACATTGAGTACCTCCACCAAGACAGGGAGAGCTGCAGAAGTTTGCCTATTTCAGTGGGAATTTCTGATTCGGCTCATCTCCAAAAGCTGTGAGCAGCACCTAGGCAGAGGGGGCTTTACAGGGGTCAGGAAAATTATAAGGTAGCACCCAGTTGGAAGCCAGCTAACCAAAACCAGAGCGCAGGGACTCTTCCCACTAACTTCCAGTCATACTCCAGTGGTGAACTCCCAGAACAAATCACTTGCCAAAATAAACAAAAAGGATCAATGTCCAATGCAACTGCTTTCTGTTTCTGAATACCAGAAGCCTGAAAAGAGAGTTGTCAAGTAGCCCAGCAGAAGAGAGGAAAGAAGACTCAAAGCCAGAGGATGATGTGTTTCTCCAAGATAGTTAAGAAAATAAAAACATTTTCTACTACTATCCTAAGTCCTTCTGCTTAGTATTTGCCTCCAATAAATAAGATGGTTCTGGTGTCTGAGCTGGTATATAGTAATTCTTTCATAATAGAGGGTGAAAAGAAAAATCAAATTTTCTGAAATTAAAAAAAAACCCTAACCTAATACAACAGCCAAACAACCAAATAAAACACACCCCACAAAATTATCACCAAATTGAAGCCATTACTATTTTCAGCCAAAAAGCCCTGAAAGCAAAAACAGGTATGGAAGAGAAAGAGATGCAGAGTAGCTATACATGAGCAAAACCAACTGCCAACTGTAAAGAGTTCACCTATTGGAGTGCAGCAAAAAAAGTTAAAGATTAAAGAAATACCAAGAGGTTAAATATTAAACCTTTTCCAATGGCATCTCATAAAGTTAATGACCTACATGTGGGTTTTTGTTTTTTTCAAATGAAAGAGAAAGTGTGAGGTTTAAAGTGTTACAGAAAACCAAGCACATCCACAGAAGACTGCTGGAGGGATGTTTTCAGCTGACGAAAACAGTTCTAAACCCTGATTTATTTATTTTTTTAAAGAATTATTTTTCCATTCCAGAAAGACCAAGCAGAATCAAGAACAAGTGTGACTCTATAGAAACTGGTGACTCAGAAGAAAAAATAAGGGGGAAGATCCTTCCCCCACACTGTTTACAAAGGCCTGATACTTGAAAACTGGGCAATGTGGAAAGAAGCTAAATGACATTTA